TTCCTTCCTTCCTTCCTTCCTTCCTTCCTTCCTCCCTTCCTTCCTCCTTCCCTTCCCTTCCCTTCCCTTCCCTTCCCCATCACTGGAGGTTTTTAAGAAGAGACTGGACAGCCACTTGTTTGAAATGGGATATGTTCTCCTGCTTGAGCAGGGGGTTGGACTAGAAGACTTCCAAGGTCCCTTCCAACTCAGTTATTCTGTAGTCAAAAAACACCTTGAGAAGGTTGAAAACCAGAAGAAAAATTAGGAAGGTATAAGCAAGGTTTGTTTTTATGCAGAAATGCACTAAATGTCTTTTTTTTTAGTGCTCTATGTCTGAATATATCTAAGATGTGGTGGTTTTTTTTTGAAACAGCCAAATATTATTATTTTTTGACTTCCTGGTCTGACCCAGTGTAGCTTTTGGAGATGAAAGTGTTCTTCAGAAAGAAAGAAAAAACACCAGACAATTTCCTCCCTTGAATCTTTCCGTCTTTGAATTCTGAGGGAGGATGATAGGGATTTTTCTCCGCTCCGAATGTTCTCTGATTTTCTTCTTCTATTTGCACAGAAAGTAGAGACGCCTCTCCACATGGCCGCTCGGGCTGGGCACAGTGAGGTAGCAAAGTATCTTCTTCAGAACAAAGCCAAGGTCAATGCCACAGCTAAGGTGGGTACCTGTCACAGTGAACGGATGGCTTTCTTAGTAGCTGCACGTAGGGGAAAACATAGGAGAAAACATTGGCAAAAAAAATCAGAATACAAAATACAAGCTGGGCAGATATGACTTTGTAGACGAACCCCACCCTGTCAAGGACCTTGGAGTACTCATCTCAAATGATCTAAGTGCCAGAGCTAGCTGTAACAGCATTGCCAAAAAGGCATTAAGAGTTGTTAACCTAATCTTGCGGAGCTTCACAAAACATTTGCTAGACCAATTCTTGAATACAGCTCATCTGCCTGGAATACGCACAGTATATCAGATATTAATACAATTGAATGAGTCCAGAGATGAGATATTTCACGAGAAGAGTCCTCCACTCCTCTGCTCGCAACAGAATTCCTTATGCAACCAGGCTTGAAATTTTGGGCTTAAGACAATTTAGAACTATGCTGCCTTCAGTTTGACCTAAGTGTAGTACACAAAATTATCCGCTACAATGTCCTACCTGTCAATGACTACTTCAGCTTCAACCGCAACAACACGTGAGCACACAATAGATACAAACGTACTGTAAACTGCTCCAAACTCGACTGCAGAAAATATGACTTCTGCAACAGAGTGGTGAATACCTGGAATGCTCTACCTGACTCTGTGGTTTCTTCCCCAAACTCCAAAAGCTTTTAACATTAGACTGTCTACTGTCGACCTCACCCCATTCCTAAGAGGTCTGTAAGGGGCGTGCATAAGCCCACCAACGTTCTTACCATCCCTGTCCTAATGTTTCTTTTTATTCGTATCCATTTCATGTATCCAAAATAATGTGTATACATAATATATCTTGTCTAATAAATGCTTGGTGAAATAAATAAATAAAATAAATAAATAAAAACAGGGAGAGCAGGGAGGTGGGGTTAAATAAGTCATCTGCCTAGACTCATTACATGGTCATAAACAGTTCAAGTCCAAACTCTCTTGAATTCTGTTGAGCCTTATCTGGCACCGAGTTAATTTTGAAAATTATTTGACCCCCCCCCTTTGAATAGTGTGGGAGTAGGAATGGATTTCCAGAGGGGTAAAATTGCAGATGACAGGAACCATTTGCACCACTCAGGTGACCCTGAGGACACAGATAAACCTCCAAGTGGCCTCAACGACTCTCTTAAAAGGATGCAAATGACCAGCTGTCTGCAAGGAGAATAAATCCTTCCATTCCCCATCATCGAGTCAGAGCTGAAGACACTTCTTGGATGAGAAGCGAAACATCTTCAAATGAAAAAATAAGGAAGTCCAGTTGCCTCCTGAAAAAGCACCTTTGGGACAGTTGACTAGATTCTTGTGTAGGGATCTCCCAACCTGGCAACTTTAAGACTTGTGGATTTTAACTCCACAGATTTCTTCAGTCAGCCATGTTGCCATATTTGGAAACCCCTGGAATCATAAGATGGCTTGAAGGACACATCATAAAATTGTTCCTGTGTTCCCACCAACACATTCCTAGACCTCATACAAGACAGCTTCATGTGCCCCTTCTTTGGGGCAGTGTGGAAAAAGGCAGGCCATTCAGGCAGGGCCATGCCACAAGCTAGGATGAGAAAGGTGTGTCTTTCTTCTTTCAGGATGATCAGACGCCACTGCACTGTGCCAGCCGCCTTGGGCACTGCACCATGGTGAAGCTGCTCCTGGAGAGCGGCGCCGATGCTAACCTCTCCACAACCGCTGGACACACGCCGCTGCACATCACAGCCCGCGAGGGGCACCTGGATTGTCTTTGTGCTCTCCTGGACAAAGAGGCGTCCCAGACTGCCGTGACTAAGGTTGAGAAAGAAGACCTTCCCTTCCTCCTTTCCCTTCCCTTCTTCCTTTCCTTTTCTCCTTTCCTCTTCTCTTCTTTTCTCTTTTCTCTTCTCTTCTTTTTCCTTCCCTTCCCTTCCATCTTTTCTTCTTTTCTTTTCTTTTCCTTTCTTTTCCTTTTTTCCTCTTCTCTTCTCTTCTCTTTTTCCTTTCCTTTTCTCCTTTCCTCTTCTTTTCTCTCCTTTCCTTTTTCCTTTTTTCTTTTCTTTTTCCTTTCTTTTTCTCCTTTCCTTTCCTCTTCTTTTCTCTTTTCTCTTCTCTTCTTTTTCCTTCCCTTCCCTTCCATCTTTTCTTCTTTTCTTTTCTTTTCCTTTCTTTTCCTTTTTTCCTCTTCTCTTCTCTTCTCTTTTTCCTTTNCCCTCCCTCCCTCCCTCCCTCCCTCCCTCCCTGTGTGTCTGTCTGTCTGTGTTTCTGTCTGTCTTTCTCTGTCTGTCTCTGTCTCTCTTTCTCATCCCAACCTGCCTCGGAGCGTGGTTGTTATGGGGAAATTAGGAAAAAGCCAGACTGTTGTGCATGTTTCCCACCTTGAGTTCTCAGAACAATAAAGGCGGGATACATACAAATAAACAAATTAGCCAGTCCAGGACGAATGTCCCGTCCAAGAAGATCTTCGGAGTTTTCCTGCAGTTTCTCCGCTTCCTTCGAGGCTCCGGCCTCTCTTGGCTTCCCACCGCATTTGGGGGAAGTAACGACATGCCCTCAAAACCCCCTCGAGGGCAAAGTTTCCTCCCTGCCTGAGCAACCACCCCCCACCCCCCCAAAAAAAGGGGGTCTGGAAAAGCATCTTTGCGGACACCGAGGCCCTTTCTCCCTGCCAGGTTGTATTGTTATTGGACTACCGAGTCTTTCCTTGATCTCCTTTCCATCCGGGATGAAAGGATGGCCGTTCCCCCCCCCCTCCCCCCGTTTCCAACCTCCCCACCCCCCCACCCGCCCCCTCAAGTTCAAAGGAAATAAATCAGCGAACACGCTCCCCTCCCTCCCTCCCTTTCGCTTGCAAGTGGGAATTGCGGAAGCATTAATTGCCCTCTTTCTTGGAGGCGGCGACGAATTTCCACGGGGCTGCTGCAGCCGAGCCTTGGAAAAATAAAATAATGAAAAAAAATAAAATAAAATAAAGAAAGACTTCTTTGGAATTGTCATGACTAATAAGTGTTTTTAAGACGATGCCTCGAAGGGCCGGCTCTTGGCCCGTTTGAGATGCCCCGCTTAATCTAATTGGCTGCAACAAACTTTCAGCAACTTTTCCCCTTGGTCAAACCGTGCCAGCTTGGGGGGGGGTGTTGCAAGGCAGCCCTCCCACCCACCCCATTGCCCCCCCAAAAGAAACTTGCAAAGTCTTCCAAGGGGAGGGGGCGTCCCGGATGAGGGCACTCACCCCCACCAGGGCTGGATTTAAATTTGCTGGGCATCATGGAATTGATTGGGAGGATTTCTGGACACCCCGGTGGGGTGGGGGGACGGGGTGGAAGGGGGATGTTTTGCTTTTCAGAAAAACCGTCATTATTTTTGTCAGCGAACCGGTCGAGTTCAAAGGGATCGAAAAAAGGGAAAAGGAAAAAAAGAAAACGCCACCGCTTTTTAAAATTTTATATATTTTTTAAATTTTTATTTTGCTGGTCCGGTGCCCGCTGGAGGCTGTTTGCACTGTAAGATAAGCCTCCCTCAGCCCTGCCCAAGCTAACACAGTAAATCTCCCACTGCAAACAAAGCTTTACCCAGGGTGGAAATATTGAATAGTGACAGGATAACCACGACAGCAAAAGTTCAGCTTAGTTTATTTCTGGGGTTTGGCAAATGACGGCTGCCTCTTTTCGCTGTCCCCGCTCTGCCTCCTCCTGCCTTTTTCCCCCCCCTTCCCACATGATCGAACACAACTCCCGTCACTCGGGGATTTTTCACTGCTCCCTGTTCCCCCCCCCCCACTTGCCGGGACCAAGTCGGGAAAGGCCCAGATGCTTTTTGGGGGGGCTGCTATTATTGGCTGGCTGCTGGGGGGATTGTCTTCCTCTGCCGGGGTGGGTGGGTGGGGAAGCCACTGGGTTCCTGTGCTGCTGGGTTCCACCAAATTTTACTTCCCCACTGCCAAAATAGACCAGATGTAGACCTCACTCAGGTTACAGAAGTTACAGAATAACCAAGTGGGAAAGGAGGTTGGAGGTCTTCTAGTCCAACCCCCTGCCTAGGCAGGAGAGCCTACAACACTTCAGACAAATGGCTACCCAGCATCTTCTTAAAGACTTCCAGTGTTAGGGCATTCACAACTTCTGGAGGCAATGAGTTCCACTGATTAATTGTTCTAACTGTCAGGAAAACTCTCCTCAGTTCTAAGTTGATTCTCCCCTTGATTAGTTAGCAGTTAGCAATAGCAGTTAGACTTATATACCGCTTCATAGGGCTTTCAGCCCTCTCTAAGCGGTTTACAGAGTCAGCATATCGCCCCCACAGTCTGGGTCCTACCATGTCTCCCGTAGTCCTTCTCTAGATTAGCTATACCCAGTTCCTGCATCTGTTCTTCATATTTATTAATCTCCAGGCCTTCTGGCGGTCTTCTAATCCAACCCCCTGCCCCCCTATACCTATCAGGTTTCCGAAAGATGCCCTAATTAACCTACGAGCCTCGAGCCAAGTTTCAAAAGAAATCCAATCATTTATTAGGAGCAACATCTCGGCAATAGCGGCGTGGAGTCAGATCTGATTTCAGTTTAAGGATGGCTGAACTTTACCCCTGTGTCTCCCCTCCCCTCAGTCTGTATCATAAATCACATTCACCAACGAAGTGCTGCAGCAGGTTGTAAAATTTCACTCCTGCTGAAGTAATCTGAGATCCGACTCTAGCCGAAGGTACGCGTGGAATTCTCTCCCCCACTTTCCTCCAATGTCAACTTGATAACAGACATGGAAATGCTTTACAAGTTGACATTCGGCTCCCCACACTTCCTGAAGGTGACTTGTGTGAAACAAAAGCAATTTGAGTACAGGTATATAATTTAGGGATGTGTCCCTCCACCAGACTTGCCTTTTCAAACAAATGGCTGTCCAGTCTCTTCTTTAAAAAAATCTCCAGTGTTGGAGCATTCACAACTTCTGGATGCAACTTCCCTTCCACTGATTAATTCTTCTCACTGTCAGGAAATGCCTCCTTAGTTCCAGGTTGATTGCAGTTGCGGCAGTAAGTGGAGAAGCCACAAAGCTGTCCAGGAAGAGTAGAAGACCTGCAGTGTGGGATGATGTCGGTTTAACAACCGGTTTGGTTGTTAAGTGTGCACGCTTAAAACGCTCGCGCGGAGCCCTGAAAATTGAGCATTTCAAAGCTGCGCTGCTTCCCTTCCAAGTCATCACTGGAAATTGAGATGAGCTAGAAAGCAGGAAATAAANAGTATCAATCCTTCCATTCCCCCCCATCCAGTCAGAGCTGAAGAAGCTTCTTGGATGAGAAGCGAAACATCTTCAAACGAAAAACCAGAAAATCCAGTCGCCTCTTGGGGGGGGGGAAAAAAAGCAGCTTTGGGATTTTCCCCAGACGTGGTTTTTCTCTCGAGGCTTTTTGACCTCACGCAAGACGATACCGCTAGAAGATGCAGTTTTAGGCCTTCTAGGCTCAATGCACATTTTCTGAGATTTGCTGACCGTTCTCTAGAGGAAGTTAAACATTTTAATGAATGCAAGCTTTCCAAAGGGGACTGTTTATGTACAGTAACAAATTAAATGACCCCAATGTCAGAAGCGCCAAGAAATTCCAACTTCTTATTTGTGTTGAAGAAATAAAACATGTTTTCCACCATTACGTTTATTATGGTTGGTATAGAGGGGTTTTTCCCCCCCCACTAAACCTTGGGCTTGTTTTGATTTTAGCAGATGTGCACGATGGACCGTATTTCTTTTCTTGGTTGCTGGTTAGAAGGAATCTGGAAACGCTGCGGCTCACAATTTTCTTATATCATGGATTTGCTCCTTTCCAAGCCCCTCACATTTGGCCCTTAAACAGGGCCACAATGGGACATTTTAAAAGGCAAAGGGAGGAACTTGGATCCAAATGTGGGGGATGTATTTGATTGGTTTGCATGGTTTATTTTATTTTATTTTATTTTAGGAAAAGATCTGGAAACTTGCATTGCCCGTGCTACAAAACCGGAAGAGACTTCAAATCCAGAACAGAGTGTTCAAAAGACTGCAAAGGTATTATTTCTTTCATTTTTTCACATACACACCCCCAAACTCATCAATTCATCAATTAAATTGTTGTTAGTCGCAAAGTCATGTCCGACGCATTGCGACCCCATGGACAACGTTTCTCCAGGCCTTCCTGTCCTCTCCCATCCTCTGGAGTCCATTNCTGAAAGCCCTATGAAGCGGTATATAAGTCTAACTGCTATTGCTATTGCTCATGAGTTGGATACGTTTGCCACCTTAAGTTAAATGTAAAAATAATAAAAGTAGAATTTAGATGGGTGGATATTGGGTCAATCATCGGGAGCTGGTCCCATCTTGGGCATGAGAGTTGACTGAGTGACTTTTAGTCAATCAGATGGGAGATTGTGAGTTCTAGTGCCACCTTGACCATGAAAACCACCTGAGTAACTTTGGACCAGTTACCAGGAGACGGGGAGTTCTAGTCCCACCTTAGGCATATTTTCCGCCTTAAGTTACATGTAAAAATAATAAAAGTGAGAATTTAGATATCATGTTTTCCCCAAAATAAGACTGGATCTTATATTATTTTCTGGCTCCAAAAGATGCATTAGCGCTGATTTTCTTTTAAGATCTTATTTTGGGGGGAAATACGGCACTAATAGCATCCGTCTGGCTGATGATCTTAACTGGGGCTTATTTTGGGCGGGTAGGGCTTATATTCTGAGCATCTGAAAAATCATGCCAGGGTTTATTTTCCTGTTGGGTCTTATTTTTGGGAAAACAGGGTAGATGGCTGGATGGAAGGATAGTCAATCTGTCTACATCTGGA